TGGCAAACAAGGTTATTATTGCAATTGTGAATTTGATAAATGTAAACAATTTTTTTATATAATTTCATGTGGATGACGCCGCACGGAAACAGCTAGTGTAAAATAAAAAGCAAAATAAATTTTTAAAGTGACCAGTAGTGTACACTAGGATGTCTAAACTAAACCAGTAGCTGTTACGTTTTTTTTTTGTAAGAAACATAAATAACTAAGCAAACTCGTAGATTTTCGCCCACCCTAACGAAATGTTCCGTCTTGTTAGGTCAGTAATTTCATTAAACTACAGGACCCTTCAAAGCGGAATGCAGTAATTTTAGGGCGCTATTCTGCGGAAATATGATCGAAATGTTGTCAACGTAATTACTTTTTCAAACAAGATAGAACGTGTAACAACGTCATTGTGTCATCATCACCAGCTCACTATACGTCCCCACTGAGGGGTTCGGAGCCTACCCTAAGTTAGTGACTAGGCAATAGTCAAGCATGCTGCACTGCGGGTTGACTTCACACATATCTTTGAATTTCTTCGCCGATATTTGCAGACATCACAATGTTTTACTTCACTATAAAAACGTCATTGTAAATATTTTAAACATCTTGGCAGCTTTACATCGCTCGAGTCGAAGTTAGAATTTTATTTGTGGGATGTAAAGGCCTGTAAGAGTAGGACACTTCACAGAATTAGAGCGCACATACACCTTTGACTAAACTATCGCACAGCTGTTTTTTCGCGCCTTCATTCCTGAGTTTATATGGAGGTGCGCACACTACTCGATTTTTAGTTGTGCGATTAAATAGTTAGGTGCGAAATAATCGATAACGACAACGTTGCGATAATTTAGTCATAAGTGTGCGCCCGCTCTAAAACTCAATTCCGAATGTACATTAATATAAAAGAGTAGACAGTGGGTTTAAAATTACAAAGTTGTATTATAACTTTCAGTTATTGGATTCTAACAATAGATTAATCAAACGTCACAAAAGATGACAAGGATCATTCTATTGTGTGCGGCTTAATTAATTAAGTTATATTTATTTCATTTACTTATGGATGATTTTGTCAAAACTTTCACTGAAGAGTAGTTGACATGGGCATATTATAGGCTACTTTTTAAAAAATCCACGGTGTCAAATGGCGATAAGACCACTATCTATGCCATTGCTTTTGTTTTGTTTATTAATATTATTATCTATTTCTATTAATTACTTTAAATAGTCGTAAGTTGTCATTTTAAATATGTTTTTTCTTTTTTCTCTGTATAATACATTATGGTTGCATACCAAGTGTTGGGCACCTCTGAAGTGGCGCAACGCGGCCCACAGGGACAGGCTGAAAATCAGCTCCTCGTGGCATTGGCCATGTGGTACACGCTGAGCCTGCAGCCCATTGTTATCATATTTTTTTTTGTTAAATATATTCATTGTAATAGTATGTGATGACAATAAAAACGTTTTTATTTTATTTATTTTATTATCTCCGTAACGGGTGTTCCGATTTTGATGTCATGTTTGTGAATTGATGACCATTTTTATTAAATTTCGCACTAATGAAGTTTGCGGGCGAGAGATCGTAAACTCGTATATGTTGAAAATAAATCAAATTCAATTGAGCCGTTAATTTGACGTCGTAGTTAACTAAAACTACACAACTATATGTAAATTGACTTGTTAATAATAAATCAGAGGCTGTATCGAGGTCATTTAAGTTTGTACAAACAGTTAACGATCGATAAGCCTCAGAATTATCAAATATTTAGTACTGCTATCGTCTTGAAATCTACAACTGTTGTAGTATTATAAAACAATAAATGTTTAAACTAATTAGGGCAATCTTAGTAATCTCACTAATATTATAAATACGAACGTTTAGATTGATGTTTGTCAGAGTTTGTAGCCTATACTGCTGAACGGATCTCGTTGGCATAGATATAAAGGATGGTCTGAAAGAATACATAGGCTATTTCTTTTTGTTCTTTTTAATTTCACGCGGATGAAGTCGCGGGAACTGACTATGTTTAGTATTGTATTTTATATTTATATATTAATTAAGATATTGTATATGTGCCAAAGGGACAAGCAGTTAACTTTCGCTAAAACTCATTGCCCATAGACATCCACATTTGTAGATGCATTTTCTTTAATCAATATATATGGACGCACAGAAAGATTGTATTTTCTCTACCCATGCATCCCATCCCCTGGCAAATCCACTTCCCCTTTCCATCTTTACTTGTATGAAAAATGTGTAAAGGGGAAGTGAATTGAAATAAAGCATCCGGCACGCACACTCATCAGACGAAACTCGAGATTGCGCGAAATATTTCACGCCAAATTACGCCACGTGTAAAATCAAAACATGACAGACAATCGAAACATTTTTATTGTAATAAGCATTTTGAAAACTATACCTTTTTATGCACTTAATAATTTTTAAAGCACACGCACTTGACTAAACTATCGCACAACCGTTTAGTCGCGCTTTGATTCCTATCTATACTAAGATTAAAGAGAAATTATTTGCATTTTTATGTACTGAAATAACTCAAAAACTACTAAGCCAATTTTAAAAATTCTTTCACCGTTAGAAAGGTAATTTACCTGTGAGTAACATAGGCTATATATTTTATGCGGGAGAAGTAGCAAGCAACAGCTAGTTAGCTTATATGGAGGTGCGCACACTACTCCATTTTTACTTGTGCAACTAAACAGTTGAATATACTGTGAAACAATCGACAATCGCTTAACATTTGTGCTCCCGCTATATAAGTACAGTAGAACCTCGATAACTCAAACCTCGGTAACTTAAAAACCTCCATAACTTCGAAAAATAATGTGTTCCCTTCCCATCAGAGCCCAAAACCTCTATAACATAGACCCTTGATAACTTAAAACCTCTGTAATTTAAAATATTTTGTGTTTCCCTTGGACTAACTTATCGATGTTTTACTGTGTATCTGATAGCTGTTCCCGTGCGACTTCATCCGCATAAAATTATGAAAATTCTATTTTATTGTTCACATTAGTCAAATTATCAATAGCAAATGTCAAAATGACATGACATGACAAACATTGGCAATCTTGCTTCCTTAATGTTGGCAGCAACTTATGGTCTCTTTCCCTCATTAGCGTTTTTATCCAAAATATTTACCCCCTAAGTGTAATGGCGTGAAAACATGTAGCCTAAAGCGAGACGTAAGTGTAGGGCATTTTATTTAAAAAGGAATTATTGAAAAATATGCTGTAATTGCTAACATCTTAGGCAACAAAGAAGTGTGTATTTACGCTTTATTATAATAGTATAGATTTGCGATATGCATTTTATACCACCTTAAGTAAATTCTGCTCTAACAAGAAATATTCAAAAAATTCTACAACGTCGGAAGTAGTTTACATAATAAATGTATTATTATGTGTAAATATTGTTTGTAAGTGATGTAAAAATATGTAAATAGATGCACGATCGTATCGGACTTTGCATCAAAGAAATATAGACATTGATCTTATAAATTATGCATAGACTTCCCTTTGTCAGATATTATATCCTGGTTAATATATACATATAATAAAATGGGAGTGTCTGTTTGTAATAATAGAAGAAAATTTCCAGATTTCGGTAAGATGATGCGTTACTGATAACGAAAATCGCTTTTAAAACATTTTAGTCTGTCTGTCTGTCTGTCCGCAAGTCATGTTTGTTTTGGGTAATCTCTAAAACGACTGAGCCGATTTCGACCGGACTTTCACTAAAGGATAGCTGACATAAACGGGCATATTATAAGCTACTTTTAATCTTAATATTACGTGAACGAAGTCGCCGGCAATATCTAGTATCAACTAAAAGAAAACGTATTTTCTATGTTAAGCTATGCGTCGTCCGCAATTTTTTTACGATGTAAAAATGGAAATCACCAGTATTTTTTACTGTTAAAAAATATACTATGTTGCGAGATTCCGTGGACATATGCAGATCGACTCAGTGGAAAACTGTTCATAACATTTCTCGCATATTAACGACTCTTTTACGAACTTCGATTCGTGTTTTTGTTTACGAAACGATACTGCAAAGCCTAAGTTAGAAGTAAATCTAATTTTACTTTACGGAGCGTTATAGAAAGGCTTTTAAATTATTCACTGTTAATTTTCGCGTTATAACCGGTTTCCGAGCTATTTGTAACCATTCGTTAGTGTTGTTACATAACTTCACGAAATGCGTTTCCGGACAACGGAATTTGAGTTTTACTCCTTTGAAACTTACTCCACCCTAATATTAATTAATCAGTAGATAATGATAAAATAGACGAAAACTTCAGAAACCCAGCATAAGTCTTTTATATAATTCAAGATAGCTCCATTATCGTCACTGTTGTATAATTTTATTTGTGAAAAACACATTAAATCAACTCAGCGCCGTTCTCAAATTGAATAATCAAATTAAAACTAGAAATGAGATTTGTAATAGAATATTTTTAACCGTCAAAGGTTCTCTTGTGTAGTCCCACAAACTAAGTTGACCCGGTGCACATAAATAAAACCATTTTCGATGCCTATGTTTTCCGTCAGAAATAACTATAAATAATCTTTTACCGCCGGCCAGATGAGTTAGTCAAACTGTACGAGAAACTTATCATTTTGAAATCGGAAACGTATGTCCTTTACTTTGATGTACTATTTTTGTGGCCATTTTATAAGCTTCATATAGATTTCGCGGGCAACCCCCCTTACGTCTTTCGGAATAGCACCCTCTCTTTCTATCACGTCTGAGCGAAACACCCCAGTGCGTTTTGAACCTTCGCGTTGTTAGGACGGGTACTGTCGGTTACCATTTTCCGCGCATCGTGTTCGCAAATTGAAATTTAAAATAGTGTAAAATTTTTTAATAATGTTAAAATTGTATATATTTGTGAAAATTAAAAATAAATTACAATTTAATACAGTTTTATAAACTTGTGTTCTCCTGTTTTTAATTAAAACTAAATTATTATTCACTGGACTGTGATTTTAATTAATTAGTGTTTTAAGTGTTTTAGTGTACATTAATTAACAAGGTAATTAATTTTATTTATTAATTTACAATAATTATTAAAAAAATAATTTTTAAAAATATACGATACACTACGTTACATATAAATTGTTATTTTATGAATTACAAAAATCATAATGAACTAAACTTTTTAGCAAATTCTTTCTCGTGCACGTTTAGAAAAACAATTAATTTAACTTTTGAGAAATCATCAAAAGAGTTTTAGGTGAGAGAGAGAGAGAGTGAGTTTTAGATAAGTTTTATGCTGAATTCGAATGGATAATATTTTTTAACTAATATATAAAGTACACGCTAACCGGAATTTAAATCAGAGCTTTTTTAACGTAAGCTCCAAAGCTATTTTTTGCTTTTAAATTTATAATCAGTCATCAGCCCGGCTTTGCGCGGATTGCAGAATTTAAGCCAGTATGTTTTACCGTTATGCGTACCATTATATTGTTTTTCGATCTTATTATAGATTTTATTTGATCCTTACTCATTAATTATTCCATTTATATCAGAAAATGTGAAAATCAATTTAGTATTATAGTTTATGTGTTTAAAGTCAAAACTACACGTATAGTTTTTATTTAGTATTACTACTAAAGAAAAATTGGTTTCTTTTTTGTTTTATTAGCAAATTTTTTTGGGTTAGCTTTTCCTAAAATTTTGATACACCGCGCGGTATTGCGTCACTACGTCAGCAGTGAACATTTATATTCGTAATTAAAAATATACAACCTTGCTAACAGATTAAACCATTTTTTTTTATATTTGGAGCTCTTATCATTTACTGTGATTATTGAAATTTTTCATAAATACAGGATAACCTGTGATAAATTACTGCGACTTTGAATGCCGTAGTTTACTTATCTCAATACTAATATTATAAATGCGAAAATTTAGATGGATGGATGTTTATTAGAGTTTAAAGCCTAGACTAGTGAACGGATTTCGATGAAATTTCTTATAGATTTAAGAAATAGTCTGGAAGAACACATAAGCTACTCATATTTGTTTTATTTTAATTAGACACGGACGGAGTCGCGGGCGAAAGCTTATAAAGAGAAAGAAGATTATAAAGAGAAGGTTATAGAACCTTAGGAAAATTGATTTCTTTAAATGCAGCTCTTATAGAAGAGCTGCATTTAAAGAAATCTATTTTAATTCAAGTTACTACTAGAACACAAGTGACGCCAAGCAACTTTCTAGACAACTTAAATCATCATCATCATCAACTTGCCCTTATCCCTTATGGAGGGTTGGCACAGTATGTTCTGCTCTTCCATACATCTCTATCAGCCGTCATATCTGAATCCACTCCTTTCTTAAGCATATCTTCTTTCACACAATCCATCCATACTTTCTTCGGTCTTCCTCTTCCTTTGTAGCCATCCACATTCAATCTTTCTAGACAACTTAAATGATTCTGAAAATAAGGGTCGTTATGAAAACATTATTTTAACGATATGACCTTTTAGGTCGATGATATCCTGAATGAGAAGTAATGTCAGTGTATTCCTCGAATCCGACTTTATCTATGACCGCCCACAGATGAATTCGAGTAATATTACTTGTGATATCGTGTTACCTCAAGCCGCTGTACATATGTACCTTTAAAGGCTTTCCTTCTTAAGATAAACTCTCAATTGTCTTCTCTCTATCGTTAATATTGTTTTAAATAATAACGTCAGCTAAGGGCTTTTACATAAGCTTGTCATTTATTTAGTTGCATTAACGTAAGCCATCAAATATATACTAAATTTGTTATTTCACAAATGCTTCAAACATTTCTATAATCTATATCTATACTATTATAATAAAGTATGTTTACACACTTCTTTGTTGCTTAAGATATCAGCAGTTACAGCATATTTTTGAATAATTCTTTCTTTAATTAAAAGCCCTACACTTGCGTCACGTCTTAGGCTATACATTTTTACGCTATTAAACTTGGGAGACAAATAAATTGGAAAAAACCTTCATGCAGGTAAGGAACCATAAACTACAAGCTCCAAAATGAAAGAAGCAAGGTTGCCATGTTTTGTCATCATGTCATGTCATTTTGACATTTGCAATTGATAATTTGACACATGTAAACAATAAAATAAAATTTTCATAATTTTATGCGGATGAAGTCGCACGGGAACACCTAGTCGTTTAAAATTCTTGATGTCCGTTTACAAATATTTAGAAATTTGCGTTAACATAACAAAGTTGTTGGCTTTCAGCCAAATCGTTCTGTTCAGCCAATTCATGTACGGAACTTTTAAAGTGTCTTGTATTTATTTTATATATTGTATATCAAAAATGATTACTAACTGATAATGTAGCTTTTTAATGGTGAAATATTTCTTTAAATCGGTCCAGTAGTTTTTAAATTATTTCAATACATACAAAAACATATTACGAGTACAAACATAGATATTTTTAAACAGTGAAAATTTAATTCAACAATACGTCACATTACGTGGAATTTGAATTTAAAAACGCAGAATATGATGTGCAAATGTACACTTTGGTATAAAAATCGACACCAATCGCGGCCAGAGGCAATTAAGGTAAATGTCATCTCGTTGAGTTCGATCACAGGTTGTGTCCTAGCGTCCGCGTCGCTGACAGCGTGTTGTCAACCCGATAGGTGTGTCATCGCTTTTGTAAGTGCTGTTCTGATTTCCCGATTGTAAAATGGATTGCATGTAAAATTCAATTAAATTGAATGATAGCTTACAAGCTACGTTGTAAATATTTAAACTGATCAAACTTTTCTCGGTTTATTTAGTTAATAAATGTACTTCAAAAACCAATTTTTATTGTCACATGTCCGCACTGCACTACCCTCTCTTTTATTTTTGGCCAATAAAATTGTAAGGTTTAGAAATGGTGAGATAAACTCGAGCACCAATAGTCTAATGGTTTGGGGTACGGGCTACCGATCTTGCGGTCGAGGGTTCGAAACCCGCTATTTGACTATTGTCGTGAACCATATCTTAGCACAAGTCTAGAGCTTAGTTGGAATGGTTAAACGAAATATTAGTAAATTAGCAAAAATCTATTAGTATTTTTATGAAACTTATTTGGCGACATTCTACTAACGGTAAAATTGCCTTAGTCCTTGCAAATTTACCATATTAATAACCAATTGAATGGCACTGAGTTACGCAAACGTGGATTATAATTGCAACTAGCCGCAATAACTATTTATCGTTCAAATAAATTTAAAATCTTTGTCCTATTGGTTGTTGTTCCGCGTCTCAATGCGTATAAAACTACTGGCTTTTAATGTGGTACACCGCCAGATTACCTGATTGTACATCCCATATAAGTCATCTATACCATTATAAAGCGTAAACACACACTTCTTTGTTGCCTAAGATGTCAGCAATTACAGCATATTTTTTTATTATTCTTTTTTTTAATAAACATCCCTACACTTATGTCACGCTTTAGGCTATATATTTTCACGCCATTAAACTTAGAGGGTAAATATCTTGGATAAAAACTCTAATGTGGGAAAGAGACCATAAGTTGCTGCCAACATCGAGGAAGCAAGATTGTCAAGGTTTGTCATGTCATGTCCCTTTGACATTTGCTATTGATAATTAGACAAATGTAAACAATAAAATAGAATTTTCATAATTTCATGCGGATGAAGCCGCACGGGAACAGCTTGACTCATATAAGTCATCTTCAAAATAAAAATCACGTTAAAAGTTAATTAGTTTTAGAGTATCGTTCAATGAAGTTAAGCGGATTTTAAGTACTAGAGTGATGTTAAAATTTATAACGACAAAACAATTACTCCTGTTTGTTGTAAGGCTTCGAATTCCTTTGGATCATGTTTCTCGGTCACAGGAAAAAATGTTACGTCATTCGATTGCAAACGTATCAACAACAATGTTTGTGTTTACTTACGACAAGTGAAGTGACCCGTCCCGGCTTTGCACAAAAAATAATAAAATCATTTAAAAATATTAAATGTAGTCTGCTATTGTTGAAGACATCAAAGTAGTTTTTGTGTTATTTAGGTACAAAATTACCTTTAAATAAGTAATAACAAAAAAATGACTATTTTGGAGCCTAGTTGACTCTAATGAACTCTGATTAGGAATTGGAAAATTAAAAATTAAATGCGAAAGTTTAGATAAATGGATGTTTGTTGAGTTTGTAGCTTAATAGGGCTGAACGAATCTCAATGAAATTTGATGTACATGTAGAGGATAATCTGGAAGAACACATAGGCTACTTTTTATCCCGGGAATAATTACGGTTCCCGTGGGATTCATTGATTTAGTTTTTTTAATGTTGACTTGATCATTCTGCAACGGTTCAACATCTTATTGTAATTTGGCACAGATATAAAAAGTCTGGAGTACATATGGGATAAGGTTCATCCCCGAGAAATGTCCGGTTCCCGTGGGATACGTTAATTTTTGTTATTTATATGGTTCGTATGTTTTCTAATACCACGCGGACGAAGTCGCAGCAGCTAATTATAATAAAATATAATAATGGAAATTACTCATAACAATTTAATTATTAATGATATGTTTCAATTTGGCAATAAATCATTTATTTAAAAAACATCCTATTAATTTGTTTAATATTAATTATTCGATAGATATTCGATTTCGATTTTAAAAGTTGAAAGCTAATTAAGTCGATGTTAATTAAAACTTATACTAGTTTCAATTTGAATCTCGAATATTCGAAGTTAAAGCAAATTTTAACATTTTAAAATTCAGTTAATCTTTTTTAAACGGATTTAAACGGACTATCAGTAGATTATATGTAATATATTGATAACGAGCTGTTGCCCGCGACTTCCTCCGCGTGGTAAAAAAAAAACATACGACCTATATAAATATCAGAAAGCTATGTATCCGTCGTAAACCGGACATTTCTCGGGGATGAACCTTATCCCATGTGTACTCAAGACTTTGTTTTATATATGTGCCAAATTTCAATAAGATATGCTGAACCGTTGCAGAATGATCGAGTAAACATTAAAAAACTAAATTAATCAATTCCACGGGAACCGTAACTATTCTCTACATCAATACCAAATTTCATCGAGATCCGTTGAGCCATTTTGGCTACAAACTTTAACAAATATCCATCCATCCATCTTAACTTTCGCATTTATAATATTAGTATGATTAGAGATCTTTTTAATTAAAACGAGTTTTGCATTACTCCCCGTTAACTTAAACGAAACTATAACACCGCGGATTTCCACAACTGTACTTGATAATAATTTTTCCGTTGCTAAAACGCATTAAATAATATTGTTATCTCATTTTTTTCAATAGAAAGAGAGAGATAATTGATTTTGTATAAGCATTTTGTAATGTAAAACAACAAAGCATCATTTGCTTTGAAGTTTTGTTTTCTGTTGAAATAATTGTTGGTCTTTGGTTGTTGACAAGGCATGACATGTGTACAAAAAATACATCCAATTTGGCTCCGGCGCTTTTATGTTATATGCAAATGACATTTATCTCTGTTAACATTAAATAAGTACCCAAAAAAAATTGTTTACCATTATGTAATGTGACATTATAAAGAGGAATGATTTGTATTTTTGTTTGTATTGAAATAACTCAACACTTACTGGGGTCAAAACTTCTTTTACAATTTTAAAGCTATGTTTTCAGTAACATAGGCTATATTTTTAGTAATTCATCAATTCACGCGGGAAATGTCGCGAGGAACAGCTATTGTTTAATAATATACGGTGACAATCGAGCGAGTGGTCAACTGAATTCGACAATACAAAGAAGTGTATGCTGCCATTAGATATCCTTATTTGCATCATACTATGGGCGTCACAGCCATGTTATGCTTTAATAAAATATAGTCTTCATTACCTCTTATGTTTTCTTCCAATTGACACAGAATAACCTTACCAATATGGCCGTCGTGTCGTCGAACTAATGCAACACCCTTATTTTTGACATCCGACGACTATCCGATTATTAACATAACAAGCACAGTTACGACATTTAAAACCATGACATAAATATTTTAAATAATGTTTTGGATCACCATTATAAAGCTTATATCGTTATTTTAAAATTGTGACAAATGGTATTGATTTAAAGCACAGACTAATAACCTTTAAGAATACAGAATACATCAAAGTAGTTAAAAAGCTAATACTAATATTATGAATGCGAAAGTTTAGATGGATGGATGTTTGTTAGAGTTTGTAGAAAAAACTGCTTAACGGATCTCGATTAAATTTGGCACAGATGTGATGGATAGTATGGAAGAACATAAAAAACTTGCTTTTCTTTTTCTTAACTCTACGGTAGCATAGTCGCAGGCGAAAGCTAGTTATCTAAATACTGCAATATACATTGATAAACTTAGCTAATTACAATAAATATCATATATTCAGACCTATTTCCTAAGACTATATAATTCCTGGATATATCACTACAGAAGTGTAGCTAGAATTGTATCTATAAAGACCGTGGAAATCCGTAATCCTATCCACCACTCTGCTTCAAAGACTTGATAGTTTATTTACTCCTCAATCTAACCGGATTCAATTCACTTCGGTTTATATGCACAGTCGGGGACATTTATTTCCTACCCTACGGTAACATTTTAACAAGTATAATGCGAAAATCTGTCAATGTGTCACCCACTATGCGTCCCCACTGATGGGCTCGGAACCTACCCTATGTTTGGAGTGACTAGGCCTTAGTCAAAAAAACAATATTGAATGTAACGGATAAAGATCTTTCATTTTACAATAAGTTTCAGCAATTTACAATAACGAAGTTTCATGAAAATTTCTTTTACGGTTCAGTAGAAGCGTCAAGTGTCGTGAAAATTACTATACAGTTGGCTCAAGTCCAATCTCCTCGACTGCGACGAAGGTTTTATCGCTTATGTAAAATCTGCACAAATAGAAATCTAAATTTAATAACTTAAGCTGTTACTGCATTTCCTTGTAATCTTAGTAAATTCTTATTAAACTAAAAAAATGTTAAATTAATGCATACTCAAGGAATCCCAAAACTTACTTAGTTATCAATTACTTCCAATTGAGGGGCTTAATAAAAAAAATACAGCAAGATGATTTCAGTACAATTTGTTACTATGTGTATATTTTTTAAAACAAAAGCTAAACAAAGTGCTTCTTGAGATTTCTTTCTTCTATCATATTAATAAAATAAATGCGAAAGTTTAGATGGATGGATAGATGTTTGTTAGAGTTTGTAACCTAAACGGCTAAACGGATTTTGATGAAATTTGGCATAGATGTAGAGGGTAGTCTGGAAGATCATTCAGGCTACTCACTTTTTTTTTATTTCCACGCCGACGGATTCGCAGGCGAAATATAGTTTTTAATAAATACACTGTAAAAGATCAAGGAACTTAGGATTCACGTTTATCTTCTTTGAGAATAACTCGTACGAACATGAAATTCATCTTATTTAAAATATTTTATAGACATTTACATATCCAATTAATCGAATTAATTCAGATAAATTTAAAATTAAAATTAAAAATCTATCTCCAAGGTTCTTTGTTCGATTATTTTGCGTCCAAATCTAACCTTACTTTTTGTCTTGTTTCAGAATGTTTATGCAACAGACTATTGTACATCCAACAGTGAACAGATAACAAAGTGAGTGATAGTTTTTTGTTTGCAATAATGACTATTAATTTAAGTGACATACGTGAACATAGTTTACTCCAAATGTGACGTTTATAAAGAACAGTGCCAAAACAATGTTTTGCCGCAAAGAACTAAAACTAATCTACGCAACTGTTGTTATTTTACTCGAAGCGGATTTGTTAGTGAATACACGAGCTATGGAGTCGCTGAGGTCTTCCAGTATTGCACAAAGGGATGATTTCAAATCATTGGAACTCTGCACGACGAGAAATCAGCAGAGGCTGGGCAGTGTGTTTGGGAATTTCACAAGACATCACAAGAAAGGTAAATATATCGCATTTTTTATACTGATGTTTTAAAGAGGAAAGATTTGTATTTTTGAATTTTTGTCTATATTCAAATAACTAAAAAACTACTGGACTGATTTCAAAAAATCTTTAACTATTAAAAAGCCTTGTTACTACCCATTAATCCCAACCGTCCCCACGTGGGAACAGATGAGAATAAAAAGTTTCACCTTTTGCGACGAGAGGACGGTTGTGACTTATTTTATTTCATAACCGTTCCACCTGTCACCTTGTTGGAGATAGTGGGACTAAATGGTGGAACGGACGAAACTTTTTATTCTCACGTGGGGACAGAGCGTGGTGACGGTTGGGATTAATCCGTTACTACTGAGTTATGTTACTCAGTAGTAACTATGTTTTTTAAAATCCAAGGGGTCGAAGTCGCCAGTAGCTAAATAAAGATTTAAAATTTCTAATATGCAAATGCGAAAGTGTAAATGGATGTTAGAGTTTGTAGCCTAAAAAAACTTCCTTAATCCTACGTAAAAGTAGCCATGAGCGAAAGCTAGTTTATGATAAGTGAACTACCACTTTAACCTGTCGGATCAGATATCTTGTTGGTCTGTAGAATTCTAAATTACTGGTCAGAACTGACAACTCTACTCATAATAAATTGTGTGCGTCTTAACATGAAAATTTTAATTATTCTCTTCATCCATAATAATTTCTAAGAAATATTTAAGAATTCTTTGGTAACTTATTCTGCCACTAAAATCCGTCATATTGATTGTTATTTTCCTTATCTATCTTAATTAGACTCTTTAATATAAGCTTACCTCTTCACAGTCAAAGAGGATTGTGAATATTTTAAAATGTTAATAACACTCAAATTCCGTAGACTATAATAATGTTATTTTTAGGTCATAGAAGAAGAACAACTACAACATCGTCAACACAAACAACTATTTATACATCAACTGACAATGTGGAAGATTTTACCACAAACGCTTACATATTAAGTACTCAAGCAACCGTTCTGAATTTACCCAAACCTCTAAGATTATCTTCACTAATGTTAGATAAGGATTACGATGATGTAAATAAATTTGACCAGATAATAAAAAATGAAGTGAAAGAAGTAAGTCGAGAAAGACATTCAAAACATTACGAAAGAATAAAAAAGGAAATACTACTTCAGTTAGATGAAGAATCATTACCGAAATCGTTGAACAAAATAAAGAAACTGTACAGGGATTCAGCCGCGTCAGCTATTAACAAAGTTAATAGTAAAATAAGCAAAACTGGTATTTTTCTGACTGACAATTGTACGACAGTTGTTGCCCAAATAGGAACAACAGCTATATTACACTGTGAAGTTAGCGATATAACCGAAAATACGGTAAGCATTATATTATACAAATGACTGATAACAGTGCTTCAGAACAAATTGTTTTTTTTCTTTATTATTATTTTTACTAGCGAGTGTGGAGTGATACACCGGTAGAGGTGGACTTAGAAAGAGATGGATTGCTTGAAAGGTGATATGATCAAGAAGGGAGTGGTGAATGAGAAAAAGATTTATTTGTAAGACGAAAACTCGGTGCGCGGACTTTACAGGAGTAGGATAAGGTAGGGGAGATGATGATTTTATGTTTGATTTTATATGTTTTTATCAGGTAACATGGATAAAAAGAAAAGATTTCTCGCTTCTGTCTGTTGGCCTTGTCACCTACAGTGCAGATAATAGATTTTTTTCTGCTCACGGAAGACACGTGAAGGTAAAATTTTAATCTAAAAGATACCTTTTTTCTATTTAAATAGATGTGGAATTCGCTCCATATTATTCAGATGATGGTTTAAAGTTTGTCAATTGTTTCTCAGGATTGGGCTCTTCATATAAGATTCGCTACGTCTGCGGATGCTGGATATTATGAATGTCAAGTACCCACACATCCTCCTACTAGTATTTTCTTCAAACTCGTCTTAGTTGGTAAGTTAGAGCTAGTTATATTAAACACAAAATATAATAGATCTGCCTGTTAACTGATTGCTTTTATCGTCGCAGATTATGCTATTAATCCATGTCTTACAGCGTGCGCACACCTGAAACTAAACTATCGCACAACTGTTTAGTCTCGCTTTAATTACTATGAATTTATATGAAGGTGTGCACACTATATTTTTAATGGTGCAACTAAACAGTTGAATTGACTGCGAAACAATCGACAATCGCACAACGCCCGCTTCTAGTCTGATTCGTTACGTCATTTGTATATTCAATACACAAATCTACTACAACGTGAATTTTAAAATGCTTTGTTTTCTTACAGCTGCATACGCCGAAATTGTTGGTGAATCTGAGAAGATCATACACGAAGGTTCTATGTTGAAGCTTGTTTGTGTTGTGAAACGATCTACAGAACCACCTTCATATGTTTTCTGGTACTTCGAAAATAGAATGATTAATTATGACTTGAGTGAGTACATGTACATTTGTGCAACTTCTTCCTGCCTTTTTTTACGCAATGTGTTCCATTCATCTCTATCAGCCGTTATATTTTAATGCACTCCCTTCTAACATACATTTTCTTTTATCTTCAGTATCTATAATATCTTCGGACTCTTTTCCCATTTCCCACAGAATGTTACTATTATACGAATAAATTATATTTGAAACAAATGGTCCAAATACCGTTTCAGTCCATTACCGATTGCTATCTTTTTCGTTCGTGACCCTCGCTTTTTCTGCACCAACATTTGTGCAAAGTCATGCTCGTCGATGGCGAATACTTTTTCATTTTTGCTTACTGTGTCACCAATTTGGTTGATTTGTTCGCCTGAGAGTTTACTTTGGTATAAATTTTACTTTGTCATTCTTCTTTCATTAATATTGAAATGGCTAAAATGATCGAAGTATTTATTGCTTTCACTAAATTCTTCTACTGCAATTGTTGCTATAACTAAAGTATTAATGTTTGTAAATTATCTGCTTTTTTGTTTCAATTTAATGATCCAAAGAGTTTTTTTTTTCGTATCGTCATTTTCACTGCCCATTTTCCCTTTTCTTACCTTTCTTACAATTGTCTCGTCTTTTCTCAGTCCTAACATTTACCTTAAAATTTACATTTTACTCTTTGATAAATACTGAACGAAAATTGATTGATTTAAAATGTTGTGCAGATGGTGTGAGTGTAAATAACGGTCGACAAACAAGCGAGCTGATAATCGGGAAAGCTGAGCCGAGACATGCCGGAAATTACACGTGTGTGCCGGCCAACGCAAAAGCCGCATCTGTCACAGTACACGTCGTACAAAGTTAGTGTTTTGATGTACCATTTATTTTACAATAAATTTGCTGAAACACAATAATAAAATCCTTTGGGGAATATTTGAGATATTTATACCGTTAGTAGAAACTAGTTTAATTAATTCTTTTGCTTCTATTGGGTGAGAGTTAATAAGTTTTTCTTAAGTGAATTTTATCTTTGAGATATTACTATCTCATGTAATTCGAATCGAGATTTTCATTTGTATATTGGCCGGTGGTAGATATTTTACGAGCGAATATTTTATTTTTCATCAACTAAAGGACCAGATATACCAAATCTTTCTTTGAGATTCATTTGATTTGAGAGTTTTTAATCGATTCTCTTTCAGGTGAAACTCCAGCGGCAATGCAGCACGGAAACTCATCAGTTATGAAAACTGGTATACATTACATAACACAAGCTTTGATTACTTTGATGGCGTTTATTTTAATAATCAAAGAAAATTACCAAGAATTCGGATAACAGATGTAGTTCATAATATCTTTGTAAAATTCATATCCAGATTTATTCGCGTTTCCCAGTAACAGAAATACTGTTTTAGTCCTAGAAATAACATTGATTATTTTCTTAGCATTTATTTCGATTAATATTCATCGTTCACTAGTAAGGTTAAATATCAAAATTTTATATAGTTAAGGTATGTTTTTGTTACTGGAAAATGTTAGTTTTATTAATGGTTAAAATATTAAAATAAACAGTTGATAATCAAAAATGTATACCAATCGAGTACAATAATTTACGTGTAAATAAATTGTGAATTCTATGCGTATTTAAGAATACATATGTAATTATCTGCTATTCGGAATAATGAAATAAAACAGTATTTTGAATTGAACGTGCCAATTTTTTCTTGTTTCATTTAAGCAATTACTACTTTGTTTATTGTTTTCATCGCTTTAATATTTTCCTGGTTCTTTTAGACACATATTTTACAGTGGTAGTGCCCGCTTTAACATCTTCGCACGAATAGGCCGGCACGCCCGGTGTAATACCACGACCACACAGAAGACAGGCGTGAAATGGAACCAATTCCGTGATTCTTCACTTATAATCTATTACAGTCAAAGCCTAATTTGTAATCACATCTCCTTGTAAATCCAGCAGACAAAGGCTGATGATGACATGAAAATCTTCAAACTATGAAGCGATACTTGTTAATACCAAAACATTTTTCATAACCTCGTTTTGCGTCGCAAAGACGCTATCATACAAGAAATCTTAAAATCGGATATTGCTGAACCACTGGTTTAATTTTTAAATAAACTTCGATTAAACCATCTGAGAATTTCCTTCAGGCGTTTTTAATTAATTTTATCACAACATTTCACTCGATTTCAAACATCATTTCTACTTTATTTAGTAACATCGAGTTTTTCATAATTAATTTATTAAAACTACACCATTTGTCGTTTCCCACAAGTTAATTGGAATATTTTCTTTAATTGTTTTACAAGGCGGAAGAATATTAAATAAACACGAACCTAAAAATGAAATTGTGTGGCATTTTTATATTTAGATATAATTATAAATTATAATTCGACGATAATTGTCTATGTAACAAAAATGTATTTGTTGTATTTTCCCAAATATCCACCACTTTTTTAAAGTGACGATTCCTTACACACGCTTAGTTTTATTTGAACAATCGGATCGTAACAGTAACGTGTGTAGGTTTTGGTACATTTATCTGAACGTTCGGACTGTTCAGATAAATCTGAGCATGTATAGGGTTTACAGATACTTACGAACAGAGAAGAGAATGTTCAGAAAGTTAGCTAACTGCATTCCCCTTTCTCTTATTTCCTTGTTTAAAATATGACTAGTTTACAAATGTTTACAATAATGTATAGCTAGTTAAGTAATGTTGCGCAGAATAGCCGTGAAATCGTATAAAAGGTTTATTTTTGCTTTTAATCCTACACCGGAAGGGAAGACGGCGACGCTGCTTCCGGTAAAATATTTATTACGATGATGTATCATGTTTAGTTGACAGCTATTGACGTTAAACTGGAAGGTTCCTGTTTGCTGGTCAGTAGTTCATATTCAATACATTTTCTATATGAAAAAGGACGTAGTGATTTTAATATGAGTTTTACTCGTCTTACCTTGAGTTTCTAGAACTGAGAAAGTTTTTCTTTTTATTAACTTTACAACCCTCAATTTAATATAATTAACTATTATTGTATATATGAAAGATTTGTATTTTTGTATGTATTGAAAAAACTCAAAAACTTCTGAGCCGATTTTAAAAATTCTTTTACCATGATAAATGTAATTTATCTGTAACTTAGGCTATATTTTATTGTTACTTATTTTGAGGAATTATAAATAAACAGCGTATTTCTGGATGTTAAAAATTAACGCCTGGGCGTTAAAAATTCTGTATATTTTTACTTTTCCGGGCTTACGCTGCCTAATCAAAAAATTAGGCCCCGCAAATGTGCAGGTGCGGATTTATCCTCTCATTGTATTTGAAAAATTCATTTATCTCTATCCAAATACCACAAAATGCTACTAATCACTTGGCCTAAATAAATTTATCTAAATCGAATTAATTATACTACATATAAACTTTTTATGACAACGTAGTGGCACTTGGAAATCAACTAAAACTTTGACCGCTTTCTTTCTTTACGGTCTCGTAATAAAACTTCTCCTCGAAGACGATTAAGTCATAAAAATTTTCACCATTGCCCTCCGGGGCAGTAAAATTTAATCATTATGAACAGATCTAAGTTATAAATTAGTTCTAAAACAAATCACACTTCGACCAGATGGTAAATAATTATTGCATAATCTAAACTAATATAATATTTTATTTTATTTTCGTGAAGTGGAAGCAATTCCGCGTTTCGTCTGATGAGTGTGGTGCCGGAGGCCTAACTTTAGTCCCTTTTCCTTTCCACCCTTTTCTTAATAGGAAAGGATGGGAGAGAAAAGTGGATTTGATGGTGGAGGAGATGCATAGGAAGGGTAGGCAACGCATCTGCAATTGCGGATGTTTATGGGCAGCGGTCGCTTTCCATTTCGGTGGATTCAGGTAGCCGCTTGCTCGTTTGCCAACTAGTATTATAAAAAAAAATAAAGCGTAAATACACACTACTTTGTGGCGTTGGATGTCAGCAATCACAGCATATTTTTGAATAATTCTTTCTTTAATAAAAAGCCCTACACTTACGACACGCTTTAGGCTTTACATTTTCACGCTATTAAGCTTAAGGGGTAAATAAATTGGGAAAAACTGTAATGTGGGAAAGAGACCATAAACTACAAGCTGCCAATGTTAAAGAAGCAAGTATTATGGTAACGGTAATTTTGTTGCAATTGAGAATTTGACAAATGTAAACAGTAAAATTAAATTTTTATAATCTCACGTGGATGAAGCTGCACGGGAACAGATAGTAAATAATTATAGTTAAAGCAGTGTTGTGCAGAGATGATCACATAAAAAGGAAGGAAGAAGGAAGACAACTAAAATGGTAAACAAAAGACAGTATGGATGGATTGTTTGAAAGAGGATATGAGTAAGAATCCAAAAGAAGAGAGATATATGAAATAATAGAATTAAATATGCTAACCCTCTGTGGAGAAAGATAAAGGTGACTTTTATTACCTTTACAGTAGAATAAAAATCGAATCACGTTATAAATTTACTGTCTTAAAATTAAACAAGGTGGGTGGAACACAAATAAAATATACTCAAAATTTGCTTGTAGAGTATTCGAACTTTATTACTATAATAAATCACGTTACATTATTGGTAACATTGTAGGTACATTTACTATAATTTTCATCCTAGTTTATTTATCGTAATTTACAAAACGATAGCTTTTTCGTCATTGCTATTGCCAGCAATGATAATGTCATTTTTGCGTGTTTACTAAACTCAGCTTGGTAATACATAAAATGGACAGATTAACCTATTTTCTTAATGAGATAAGGTTGAAACGATGTTGATTATTTCGTTATTTTAGGAATAAAAAAAATTTGCTTCTATAAATGACTATTTGTGTGAAAAAACACAATAACGTAAAAATAGTTTTCGCATAATTTAGCTTATTTATTAATTAAATACCTAAGGCCTTCACTCAAACAGGGGTTCCTACAGAATAAAAAAAAATAAAAAAAAAAACAAAAAATCGAAATATACTTTTAGATAAAATGTACATTACAACTTTTCTATATATTCACAATTGTAAACAGCGTCTAGTTATAAGTATTGTTTAAAGCGCCAATAGCCTAATGGTTTGGAGTACGGACTACTGATCTTGCGGTCGAGGGTTCGAATCCCGCCATTCGACTATTGTCGTGAACCATATCCTAACACAAGCCTTAGCTTAGTTAGAATGGTTAAAGGAAATATTAGTAAATTAATAAAAATCTACTAATATTTAAAAAAATAATCCTTTAGTGTTATTCTGTGAGGAAATAAATGGCTTTCTTTATATTAATTAAATCAATATTTCCACGATTGCTTTGTAGTTCATAACAAAAAGCTATTTAAAAAGGCTATTCCCTTACAATAGCGAAATTTACCATTAGCCTAATGGTGCTTGTAAATGAACAGGCAATTCATTCTATTATAATTAAATTCAAGGTCGAATATAATCAACTTTCTTTTTTTTCCGTTTTTAAAATTTGTATTATAATTTTTATGTTTAACAATACTTAAAAATCTATTTTTCTGATATCTAGGTTTATGTTAGTACATTTCATTATTTAATAGTAATCTAAAGTACTTACAAAAGAAGTAACAGAATAGTATAACAGAAAAGATACACGGAGAACAGAGTGTTCTGTACTAAGAGTGTTACCATATTAACTGTGTACACTTTATCTATCTATCTATTCTAATATAATAAAGCGTAAACACACACTTTGTTGCCTAAGATGTCAGCAATACAGCATATTTTTAAACAACTCTTTAAAATTATGCTGTAATTGTATAAAATAAAAAGCCCTACACTTAAATTACGCTTTAGGCTAATTATTTTCACGCCATTAAACTTTGAAAATAATTTGGATAAAAACCCTAATGTGGGAAAGAGACCATAAGTTGCTGCCAACACCAAGGAATCAAAGTTGCCACGGTTTGAGATCATGTCATGTCATTTTGACATTTGCAATTGATAATTTGACAAATGTAAACAATAAAATGAAAATTTTATAATTTTACGCGGATGAAGTCGCACGGGAACAGCTAGTAGTTAATAATGGGAAAGGAAGGACATGATCTGGTCGCAACACCGATCTCAGGAACGTATCGCGGAAATACTTCGACTGTCCGTCTTCTGCTTGTGATATTTCAGAGTACGGACAAGCTGTTCGTGGAGTATCTGGTGCTGCGGATACCACTGAAAAAATATGTCATAATTTGAAGTTAATGTCTGTCAAATTCAATGTCACGTTTTAGTACGGACAGCGATAGTCAATTGTTTCTCAGCCAATTCAACTGTTTAGTTGCACGACTAAATATCGAGTATTGTGGGTCCCTCCGTCTCTCGACGAAACAGTTGTCCGATAGTTTACTCAAAAGATTGAGCGTTTTTTATTAAATTTATAGTCTTGAATTAATTGTCAGTCTATGCACTATAACTTTTTCTTTTTAAACGTGTGTGAAGGTAAAAGTTTTAAGCGCTCGC